GTTAATCCCTCAAACGCCATTTCATAAAGAGTGAGGATTACTGCGAGAATTAGTGGGTAGGAAAGTGTATAGGGATGGAGAAAGCTGCGGCTATTGGTAAGAGCAATCCTTTCCGTCTAATTAAGAATCGTGTGTATGCTGCAGCACTTCCGCCAGTTCTTCTATACGGCGTAGAAACTTGGCCATTAAGGACGAGCAGTGCTGAGCTCATGCGCAAAGTTTTAGGTAACCGCGGTCGCCCACTGAGGCAAATGGTCGACCTCCATAAATTACGTTGGTTGGGTCGTGTTACGCATGTCATCAAATAGGTTGCCACGGCGCGCGCTGTTCACCGAGACAGGTTTTGGTCTGAATAAATCCAAGGAAGGTCAAGCTAAGACGTAGTATGAGGGTGTGAAAACCCTATCCAGGGATCTGGATCACATGGCTCTCTGGCTGGGAATCTCGGGGTTAGCATAATCCATGGGAGATTCCGCCCTAGTTTAGGCTTCGTTGACCAACTATTCCCCTCTTGGACCTTCGCCACAAGTTTCACCAACCCACAGCAGTCTTCACCATTAATTTTCATACGGCATTAGATTCCGTAGATCGCAAATCCTTCTGGAACATAATTCTGGCGGATGATGTCCGGGGTAACTTTCTTAACGTCATGAGGTCCTGCTACTTTAACACTAATACGCGAATCCGCATCTACGACGAGGATTCCTACATGTTCAAGTTATGATCTTGAGTACGGCAGGGATGCCCATTGTCCAGCAATGCTGTTCAACTTTGCCGTTGACTGGACCATTGGTCTTTCGATGGAAGGATACCAAAGAGTTCAGATCTCTCCCAACTTCTGGCTCACCGACATGGAATTCCCTGAAGATATTGTTGCCTCTGATTGGGATATTTCCAACCTAGGTTCAAGCGTATTGCCCAGTGGCCAAGCATAGAACTAGGTAAAATTACCCGTAGATGCTGTCCAAAAGGCGTTTCTACACCTAAATAATAAATACCATATGGCATATGAATGAAATCATCCCATAAACAAAAATACGAGTTTACTTCGCGGTGGTCCGTCCTGTTTTGGTGTACGGCTGCAAAACCTGACCACTTATATTCGCAGACTGTCGACGAGCAGAAGTGTTCGATCACTGGTGCTCAAGAATCATTTTTGGAGTACGATAGAAGGTTCATCTCCTAAGTTAAACAGTCAGAAACCGGTTTTATTCGTATACGGCTACGAACGCTGATACGGCGGCGGTGAATACAAAAGTATAGTCACATACTTCGTAAACCTGACACGACACCGTCTCCCTGCGCAGTTGACGTGGTGTACAGCTGAAAACCTAGCTAGGCACGTCAGGCAAGGATGCAATCGCCAATGGAAGTCAAGTTGGATCATAATCTCCGCAGATCTTGCTGTCGAACGTAGGCAGTGGCAACTTGGGATATCCACGAAGCCGGCTATCCTCTCAGGAGTGACCCACCCTAATGGATGCAAAGTTGACCTTTACTATCACTGTGGCCTCAACAGTTAGTGGCATTTACCACGCGGGTAGTTTTTCCAAACCATTCGGACATAGACACTGTCCGTGACAAACCACCACCTCTCTCAAGCACTAAGTTTAGTTTTATTTCATAGATCGTATTGAAAATCTCTGTGATTTGTATTCGTGGACAATTTATCTGAATGCGAAAGCAGATATTTGGGGCCCCGTTCCACCCAGGCATAGCACTAGACACACTATCACGGATTTCAAATCTTTCTATTTTATTCCCTGAGTTACATAATGTGTTGCATTTGGCCGGTAGGTAAGTCGCTGCAAACAAGCTGGCTCACCGGTTCGTTCGACACGATCAGTGCTGATTTGTCAATCCAGTTCATTAAATTATAGTTCCTTACCTGTCTACAGTTTCTCTACACGTTCAAGTGTTTTGCTTTGGTAGCATGTTTGACATGAAAGCACACAGAAAAATGAAAATTATGGCGTCGATCATTCTCTACAAACTTGGAATATCAAACATCCCATGTTCATCTGTTTGATGTAGCTACATTTAGTGTATCTACTCAGACAATGTTTTTATCTATTTCTTTGGGCAAAGCATCGGCATGACAAATATCCAGTCACGTGATCCTCTTGTTCCCTCCCTCACTACTTCCACTGCTTGTTTAGATCAAGGACGTCTTATCAGATTCTCAGGACTCCGACACCAACTCACTTTCACCAAACGAACCTCATCCATTTCGGATCCCGAAAGAACTTTTCCGTTTGGTCGATTTCATCAGTCTGCATTTGAGTGAAGTAAGAAATCCAAAGCACGTTTGCTCAGCTGTTGCACAAAACAATAACATTTTCGATCANCGATCATGTTTATGTCGCACTCGATTTGCTATCCCAAACAGTGTCTCCTGATCACATTGTTGCTGACTTATTAGGTTCTCTTTTACCTGCAAAAAACACTTTTCGATGAGCCCTCATACGTCAGAATGAAAATGACTAGTTGACAATAAAAGCACAGTACATAACAATCAGCAATTGGTTGTGTTGATACTGTAAATAGAAATCATACTGATTAAATTTTCAATCATACTTATGAAGCTCTTCGGGTGCTCTTAAAATTTTACTTGCTTCCGGTTTACGTCACTCCGAATGTGGTGATTTTTAAAAGCAATTCTTTAGAGTAGTCTTTGTTAGTAATAATCGTCATCGTTCAGACTGTCACAGTCATATTCACCGGACGGAACAGAGACGTTATGTACTGTGCATCGAAATGGATGCGGGAGACACATTGATGATAAAACAATTGCGTAGCACACAGACAGAGGTTGGTTAACTATCGGTTATTACCTACCGTCTTCATGTGCTCGCCTTTCCGGTTTTATCAGGGAATTTGGAGAACCTGGGGTGACTACTCTTCGTTCTGCATTGGATGGGGTAGGAGTGATTTCGAGAACACAGGTCTGAGCTTGGTTTTATCAACTGTTGTCGTTATTGTGGCCTGCTGAACGGGGATTTCGTCAGTTACTGGGTTTCGTTTGAAGGGAACAGTGTTTTGTTTTTCGTCCATGCCCACTGTGTTGGTTTTTTTTTCCAGCGTAGGATATGAGCTAATTTAGGTCCTTGAACTACCTTATGTACTCCATCTCTCTCTCTCTGCTAGGTGAAATACCGGTTATTGGTTAAAAACTTATTTTTTCTGATTGGTTGCAAGTTTCTAAAGTTGCATCTATGTTGGTTTTCTCTTCTTTCATTGCACACCTTTTTTAGCCGGAGCTGTTTCGTCAGTCCGGACAGTACGACGACGTCCGTGTGATTCGAGATATGTTGGACACCACTACTTGGAACGTTTCATTCCGTGAGTGGTACATTTTGCTGTCAGCTGTTTTCCCAAACACGATCACATCACGCATCTGATGGGGCCGTTCGATCATTGCTAAATGGTCACCGATATTTCCTTAGCACATCAATTGCTTTGTGGTTTGTTGTTAAAGGTATACTTTGCGATTACGATAACACCAGTAGCTAGATTCCATAACACCATGGAAAACATCAAAAGCCTTAATTTACATCCGGATAACAGACCAGATAGGTAACTGGAAGATAACGGCAAAAATTCAACTATCGAAGTGCTGGGTTTAATGGTTATGCAAACTGTACATCCACCAAGCAAACCATACGATCCTCCTCAAACAAAGTGGGCTTAAAACCAAGTGCGAAGGATGGGCTATTCGGCGTGCTGCCTATGCAGGCTAACTCAGTGCTCTCTAAAAAAGGGTTGAAATCTTTTCTGTCACCAAGGTCCATCGCTAATCAAAGATCAGGGTCCAATTTCTAGAGCTGTTATCTTTTTCTTCTTTTGTCTTGCAAATTCTGTGGACAACCTACTATCCATTTTTCAGTTGGTCGAATTCTGTCCCGTTATGCAAACTGCTACTCATCCCTTCCCTTACCTCTTCTTCTTTTAATCTTCTGACAGCTGATACCGTTTCAGTGCACTCCGCCGCGTTCTGTTTGTTAATTTTTCTCAACACACTGACCGAGGCAGTGATCCCTCAGAAGTTTCAAGCGCAGTGCCTGGAAGCTGCCGGTAGCTACTCATCTGCAATCAAGGTCAGTCGCCTCGTTTGGGTACTGCTAATTCCTGCGTGTGCCTCGCGAGTTTATTACCCTCCACTTTGCATTTAAATACATAAGCAGCAGTGCCTGGTGTCTGTGAAAACCGAGTGGGTTAATCCAAACATTGACCATCTGATTTTTTTAATCTTTGTTTCGATAGCGATCCCGAATACAGTAGAACGAATATGTTGCTAGTGTGTGCTTCAGTTTGTTTCCGTTCGAGCTCACAGCTGTGATCGAAAAAGTACAAGCCACCGCTATCTGGCATTCTCTACAGTGTGATCTCTCGATGGCGTTCAATTGGTAAATAATCACTGGAGTATTTTTTGTGTTTCGTCCTGCTTATTGCACTTTGCATAGTACCTTCAAGATGCTTACTTTGTCAGAAGTGCTTTCATGTTTTTCCATACTGCTGCGCTTTCTTACCATTTGAGGAAGTGACAGATCATCAGGACTTGAGAGCCAATGCCCAAGCAGAGTTCAACAAATATGAAGGAACAGCGAAGTTACCCATACCATTAGCCATCAGATACTGGGTACATTCTAGATCGTATTCAACCTTGGTTTATTTATACTTTGGGCATCCTGCACTCGAAACATCCGGCGGAAAAAGAAAATAAATAAGTGTTAAAATTGGACAGTACATACATGACCTTGCGCAAAGATATCCGAACCCTAATTAGTAAAGTGGGCTTCCATTGAGCAGAACAGGACCTTCCTTGTATATGGCATACTTTGTGTTCTGTTCCGGTTACCCTTGTCATAATAGAGCGATCAGAGCTGGAGCATTAAAACCTCAGCATGTTTATCGCTGATATTTTCACTATATTAGACCAAATCGAACTACGACCCGGAGTTTGAATACAATTGTAATGTGCGGGTTTCGAATCCCACCGAGGCTAGTGAGTTTTGCACAATTCGAACAATTTAAGACTTATTAATTAATGCCATTTTGCTTTTGATAAACCGATCAATCATCATCGAACATTGTGTGACACGTCATTTGTCTATTTTGAATACGGCGAATTGATGACAGTGATACAGAAACAAGTAGGGTTAGGTCCTCTTTTCTCCCATTCCCGTCATTTGAATTTAAATCCCCTCGCTCTGTCGACTTCTCAATTTCCGCAGATATTTACTCCTTTAAATACAGCTGGTCTCTGTTGTGTCATTTATCGAAAACAGGGTTCTATGATCTCCCGCGTAAGCAACCTCGCAAAAGTGATTGATTTGTTTTAATGTATCACACAGCTACTCATCCATGAAGGATCGACGTTTTAAAGTGTCTACTACAACTACAATTTTACGCTCATTGTAGTATCAGCAAATTCCCATTCGGTATATTATCTCCAGAATCCGTACTCAGAGTGCCGTTCCTCCCATATGAATGCAACTCGTTTTCTTGTTATTTGTTTTGACATCATTCTAGCCGATAGCTTGATCTTATTACCTTCCACTAACGAGTTGCTGTCCAAAAACACAAAATTTCTTTTAAACTTTGACCCATTTCATTAAAGTAGGTAACATTCAGCGTTACTTTGTTTATCACAGTTGGTCGGTCATTCAACTAATCATGGAATAAAATAGCTTGAACCTTCTCCCATTTGTATTCAGCATTGTTACGCAATAGAATAATTTGTAGTAAAATCTTCAAATCGCATGGTTCGAATGTATACTGTAGAAACAATAGACATGGAGGGAAAACATTTGCGGTATCTCCAGTTGGTTGATTCTTATTTTGAAGAATTGCAGTTTCTTGTAACCATAACAGACGGCTTCGGAGATGGCGTCCCACAATTTGGTTGTGTTGAGGTGCTACTCACATTTGCGAGTAGTTTGCGCGCACCAAGAAGCGCTTGTTGAAGTCCCACGACATCCGCGAGTCCATTTACTGTTTCGACTTCAGAAGAGACGAACAGACTGTCAGGTTGACAATCGCCAATGAAGAGACGAAGAAGTACCAACCAATTGTTGTAAAATAGATGTGCCGTTCTATGTAATCTTATTTACCCCTATCTTCTGTTGTAACTAACTTTCCTCGATGGGGCACTAGCTCGTGGAATTACAATACTGAAGGTCTGTCGTGTTTGACTATGAACGTTTTTCTTTTATAAAGACTATTGTACCATGATTTTTTTGGTACACAGTCTGTCCTCAGACAGGTGTGATATATAATAATAATAATAATAATATGAAGCACACTTATTGAGCATGAAAATCGTGTGTACTCTCTTCGAGTTCGTGTCATCGTTCGCACGCAGAATTAATTTGATATGACGATTCTGCTTTCAAATTCACTGGACCAATGCAAGTGAATCTGAATAGGTTCGACTTGAGCATAGTAATAAATTGGACAATTTTACTTTCGAGTTGATTTGTGTTCTAGGCACACTATTTCTGTCACCGTCTAGCATTTGCACTTCGCCTTTACTCCTGATAGACGTTTTGCAGGCCTCCATCACCCTTCTGAATTTCTATCAAATAATTATATTACATAAGTACTAAGTAGATATTATTGTTAAAACATTATCGGGACTTCCTTTATATGGGTGGTAGCATGAATAACATCACAGTGATCTACTACTCTACCTAAAACAAAATATGCTAATACGTCAGTCCACAAATGTAAACACTCCAACTCCGCCAGTCATTGATTTTTTTGAATCAGATTTACAGTACGACCCAAGTGGCGTTCACCGTCACATTGCTGTACTCGATTAGTAGATAGTCTCGTCGTTTCTCCGGTTGAGTGACGCGTTTTCTGTGGGAGCTTGCTCTGATTCATCAACCCAAGTCCCTTAGCCGCAGGATTTCGGTCATCCTCAACACACCTCCCAGTTGTATGTACTTTGTGTAGTAAGAAAGTGGACCAGCTTTCAACGTTGTATATTTTCATTTGTAACTTGGTGAAATTATTGCTCCGGTTGATTCGCCTGCAGTAAGGTATGTCGCCAAGCCCTGCAGATGTCCCAGCTGAGATAATCGACCAATTGCGAACAAATCATTCTCGACTGAATCTCTGTACCATTTGTTAATAGCACATTACTCTGTTATTTATGTATTTCATTCGAGCGAATTGAGTCAACATTAAGGAACCCCGTGGAAAGGCATATAAATTACGTTTTCATGCTCTGGAAAATTTGCTCTCTCTCTCTCTGACAGTATCGTAGTTTATGTTCGTAACCCTACTGACCTTGCTTAAACTCATCGCGTTTTTCTATTTTGAATCCCCTCCGTAGGCTTTAGCGCATATACCCGTGGATCATCAGAATTTGTTTTACTATCTTACTGCTTTTCTACGCAGTTGTCTGGCGCTCAGTGAGAAAAACGGGACCGATGTGCAGTTGTTAGGTCAGTTGTCTCTCCCTCTGCTCGAATGCCCTCACTATTTTATTTGTGCTCCCTATTCTGTGCGCAATAGCAACGTACACATGCAAATTGCAATATATAAACAATTGCCCGGTGAAGGACATTCTTATTGACGAATAACGCTTGCACTCCTACTAAACGCGCTTTCGTATTGAGTTGGTCCTACACTCGTTTCCTCATTCAGATGCGCAATACTCGTGTTGTTTAGAGCATATTTTGCAATCCGTCACACCAAGAATTGTCGGTACAATATTTTCCAATTTAAAGTTTTATTATAGGAATTACTTACAAGCTCATACTTCCCTTGTCCCCTTGGGTTATTCGCACAGTTGAATCTTTTCTCGGCGAAAAAGGATCCATTGTCACATAGAGTTCCGGGTAGGTGACAGATAATGTAGTCTTCAAAGAATTTGTGTTCATTTTTAGTTATGTAGGAATGTGAGGTATACCAGGGTTTCGTCAATTCTCCTCTTGGAGTAGTCAATAGTTGATACACAAACGAAATGAGATGGAAGGGTGTCCCAAGTATTGCATACTCTGCCTACAAAATATTAGCACCGGCATTCCAGTTCACCCTTTGCATTCAGTAATTTGAAACGGTGTCCCCTAAGTTGTATATTGTGAGCAGCGACCGACATGGATGGTTTGGGTTCTGCAGTATTTGGTACGTCAAAATCAAGTCTCCCGAATTCTGCGGTACTGAGCACAATATAGTCTCAATGATCGTGATCTCTACTCATAGGTGAGTCAATGCAATTCTCCTTGACCATCCCTTGTGAGCGCTCATGCATCTTGCAATCGCGTTCCAACAAAGGGGCCCCAAGCTTAGATGACGTATTCTGTGTGCGGTCGAATGTACACTGATAGCAAACGTGGGAAAAGTGCTGATTCAAACCGAATAAAGACTTGCCTAAGTAAGCCTATATCATCACACCAGCGGACGAAGCCTTAACGCAGTTGATCGAGAAGATTAAATCCTCTTGAACAATAGTACCTAAGTTTTTTTCACTTGGAGTATGTGGTAGCTGCTGATTGCCGAGGAGACTCTTCTCTTGTGGCGCACGGATAGGACTTTACCTTTAGAAACATGGAATTCAATGCCGTTCTCCTTGGACCATTGATAAGCAGCGTTCAGTGATTCTTGAAGTGTTAGAGAGCCCTCAGGTTCTGTTACTGTATTCGGATACCCGCGATACAGTGTCAGCGATTCATGCAAATCGGCCTTCAAAACGGAGCTCTCCGATCGCCTGTCAGTTCAACCGCCAGCCGAAAGACTCAATGAACACTGGAAGCAAATCAAGGAAGCTATGCAGATATCGATAAAAACA